TTAAAATAAGTATATATTTATAAATACGACGTTAATAATAAGGTTAGTAAGGTAAAAGTACGTATATATATAAAAGGAGATATATAACTACTTAACTTTTTATAAAATACGTACGTTTTAACGCTCACTATAAAGGTTTTTAAGCTTATAATAATAATAACTACTTAATTTAACCTTAAAATAGACTAATATAATATTATTAATATATTTTTTAACGTACTTCTTAAAAATAAAAAGCTAATAATTATTAAACTCTTAAAAAGATATAAAGTTATTAATAAAGTAAATAAGCTCTAATACGCTCTATATAACTTCTAAAACTCGCTAATTCTTTAGTTCTAAACTTTTATTTTTATATTCTATAATATAAATATAATATATAGTTATAAAGAGATCTATATTTATTAAATTATAAATAGAAAGGTAATATTAATATTTTATATTAATAACTTTATTATTTTATATTATTAAAATAATTAAAAAGCGACTTAAGGGATTATTAATAATATAAAAGAATATATTAATTTTAAAAAGAATAGACCGATTAATTATTTTTTTAGAGTATAGATTTTATAAAACCGTACTATTTATAAGGTTTACTTTATTTATAACGTATATATCGAGCGAGTTACTAAGTACTTTAACCTTATAAATTTATTATATTTAACTACCCCTCTTTTTTAAAAAGAGTTTAAATTAAACGAGGGGTAGGTAATAAAAGAGGAAATAAAAAGTTATTAAGAGAAAGTTAGGAATATACTTTATATAGCTATTATAATTAGACTAAATATTACTTTTATTTATTTATAATTATTATAGTTCTTAATTAACTTAAGTATAACTTATATTAAAATAATTAATTACTATATCCAATACTTTTATATAACAAAATATTTTATACTTTATTATAATAATATACTAAGTACGTAATTATTACTTTTATATAAAAATACTAGTTTTATAAGTAATAAAATAATACAACGATTATTTTAGGGATATATAATATTTCTTTTTAATAGCCTAATTTAATAAAAGTTAGTACGCTAAGTAACGGTTACGACGTTAATTACTAAAACTAAGCTTTTTTATTTTAAAGAAATTATAAAAGAGATTATAATTTTAAAGCGCCTTTTTAAAAATATTACTCTTAATTTAAAAAAAGTATAATTAATTAACTATAATAATTAATAAATAATTTAACTTATTATAAAAAAAACAGAAAGAATAGCTACTTAACTTTATTATATTAATATATAAAATATATAACTAAGATAAGAATATATTAAAAGTAGTTTCGAAGTTATTTATATATTAATAAAAGATATATTAATAAATAGACTTATTAAAAACTTTTTATAAGCTAAGTTTAAATATTTTTATATACTTTTTAACTTTTATAATATATAAAAAGCTATTATAAATAGCTAAAATAGTTAAAAATAATTAATTTAGGTTATATTTAAAAAAACTTAATACTTAAAAATAAATAATAAATAGAACTTAGAGTATAGTTTAGAGGCTTAAAATAAATAAAATAAAAACTTTTTATAGCCTAAAAGCCTAAACTCTTAAAATAACTTTATTTTATAAAGTATATATATATAAAAATAAAACCCGGGCTTATATTTATTATTTAAATTCTTAGTTTATGAAGTACGTAATTATTAAAAGTATAGTATTATTAAAGAAGAGGGTTAGTATATATATTAAAAAATACGTTTTATATATTTTAAAGTTTATAAAGTTAAGAATAATAAGGGTAATAGGGGGTATAAGAACTAAAATAATTATTAAGTTAATAACTTAGGGTATAAAAGCGAGTAATATAATAAGAAGTTAGTTATAAATAATTATAATAAGTACGAAAAAGAACTAAAAGTATAAATTAAAAAAGTCCTCTATATAAAAGCCGATATAGTTTTTATATATCCTTTAGTTATTATTTATTTAATAAACGATATTACGGAGCTTAATAATATTTTATTAAAATTATAGTTAGAAATACGCTTTTTAATAATAAAAAAGGATAATATATTTATAAAAGAGGGAGCGTTATTTATAATAGCCTCGGTAAAGGCCTAGGTTATTAATTATAAAATAACTAATATATTAATATACTTCTTAGCTAAATAGTTATTAAAATAGTATATATATTAGTTATTACTTTTTATAAAATAATAATTCTTATTTTTAAAATTAATATATTAAAGAACTATTTTAAAATAGGGTAAGTATTAAATTTCCCGTTTTTTAAGAGCCTTTTTTTAAGCTTTTTAAAGATTAAATATACGTTAAATAAGCTTAGAATAATAAAAAGAATTATACTTATTACGGGGGGTACTTTAGCTTCTTAGCGTTCTTTTTTATTTTTTATTACTTTTTTAAAAAAAACTAGTTTTATATTTTTTAGATTTTAAAATAATATTAAATATAAATTTTTAAAATAATAAGTATATAGTAGTTTTTTTTTCCGGCTTTATAAGTACAAAAGATCGACCTTAATAAGATTACGCTTTTAAAAAAATTACATAATATAGTACACTTTTTAACTATATAATACGCATAATATACCCTAAGTACGCGCTTAATATAATATAATAATTTTAATATAAAAACTACTATATAATTCGGGATAAGTAAGCTACTCTTTACGTAGTAGCGCTAACTAAAAAAGTTAATAATAGAAGTTAACTATAATAATTAGTTATAATAATCGGCCGTAATAATTAGAAGTAGCTTTTTTTAATTATAGAAGTTCTAAACTTTAATAATAACGTAGAGGTTTTTAAAAAAAGGGCTAAATAGGCTAATATTTACTACTTTTTAAAACTTATAAAGATTCTTTTTATCCTTATTGTTTTTAATATTACCTAAAGCTACTCTCTATTTAAACTAAATAAATTTACTAAATAAATTTACTAAATAAACCTATTAATATATAAACTATTACCTAAATAGCTAGTTAAATAACTAGTTAAGAGGTTAGCTAGTTAAAATACTACTTTAATAAGAACTTATTTTAAAAATACTCGTTAATAAGTCTACCCCTCTCGGGCTAAGTACCCTCGGCTAGCTCGATATTATAACTATTATAATTAACGTAAGTACGCTTAAAAAATAATAAAGTACTTTTTAATAATATAAAATCTAGCTAAATAATAATATAAACGTTATAAATAGCCGGGCTAATATAGATATTAAAATTTAGTATATTAATATTAACTTAGAAATTATATTTTATAAAGCTAAAAATTCTTTTAATATAGGCTATATTATAAATATAAGGGAATATATAAGGGGCCCTTTAATTTTTAATAAAAAGGAGTATATAATATAGGATTTAGCTACTTATACGGGCTAGTATTAAGAGGTTTTATATACGTTAAAGTAAGTATAGCTCGCTCTCTAAATAACTAAAAGCGGGGGAAGGTCGGGAGCTATTAATAAAAAGAAAATAACGGTTAAGTTAGTTAATTACTATTTTAATTAGTAGTTAAGTATAGAGCGTAATATACCCAGTTTTCCCCAATACGTAATACATAGTACGGCCCTAGCGGATTACTCTATCGGGGGGAAAATAATAAGTATATAATATACCCTTTTTAAAAAGCTTATTATTTAAACTAGTTTTATTTTTATTTTTAAACTTTAAAAGGGGGATAAGTAAAAGTTTATTAAAGTTTTTATTATTATTATTTATTTTATTATTACCCTTATTATAGTTATTAAAAAGAGCCTCGAACTTAATAAAGTTCTTAGTATTTTAATTAGTAACCTTAATATCCTTTTAATTAAAAAAAGAAAGCTCGGTAACTAAGCCCTAATAAGTAAGTAAGAGGTTATAAGGGGAGAAAACGACTTAAAGGGGCTTATTAATATTATTACTTATTTAAACTCTTAATAAACTATAATATATATATATAAAAAGTATTATAAAAATTACGTAAAATTTATTATTATTTTTAAATATATTAAATATTTATATTTAAAATAAAATTAATAAATAATTTAATAATATAAGTACGCGCGTATAATAAATAGAGGTATTTATAATAATTATAAAAAGTTAAAAAAAAGAAAAAAAATAATAACTAAGTAACGTTATAAGAATTTAAATATATATAAAGCGGCTAAGTAGCCTCGCTCTTAGTAATTTATATATTAAAAATAGTATAATACGTACTATTTTAAGTTAGGATTTTATTTATTTTAAATAAAAGTATATATTTATAATAAATATAGTTTAAAAAACGCGTATCCCTTATACTTATTTTTTTTTTATTTATATTTAACTAAATTAGGCCTTTATAAGAGTATTTAAAAATTCTATTTTAAGTATAATAGCTTTTTAATAATAATAATTAGGGGGTATATTATATAATAAGGATAGTAATCGTACTTTATAAAGTACTTATTACGTACTAAATTACGTATTTATTTTAGATATTATATATATAAACCTTTTTTTTTATTTATTTTTATTTTAATAGTTAAGCTACTTTTATTATACTCCGTATGCCCATTGCTACGTGCCATAACTCGTAACACTCTGAGAATGTAGACTGAGTTATGATAAAGGTAGGTCAATCGACGTGCGAAAATATCTTTAGCGCCAGAGATTTCTGCTCTGAAATATCAAGTGGAAAAGACTCGGAAGAACTTCCACCTAGATACGTCACTTTCGAGAATTGTCCAGAACATCTGGTTCTGTTGATGTGATGGAGACAAATCGAGTGCAGATTTCGGTCATGACCGGTGTCGTGCCAAGGGCGCAGGTCAGATGGAGACTTTTGAGCAGATGCAACCAATCAGTTTGCATCTTGACCTGTGGCTTGACAATAAGGCGCCCTAACAAAGGCGAGACTTTCCTCTAATAGCCGCACAGAGACAACAGCCGACGCGGCTCGGCGCGCCCTGTCAGTGGGAATTTAGCGTTTTTAGCGACGTGTCTTCCAGAAGCATCGATTTTGAGAAAGTCTTCTGGCTAGGGTCAAATGAAGATGATAGCAGGTCTGCGATATCTTGGAACCGTACAAAAGGGCGTTAGAACCAGATCGCTGGGCTTGAGAAACAATCCGTACCATCCGATCAGATCTGCCATCGTTGTGGGCCATCGATTGCACCAAAAAAGCACGCTACGTAACGCCACGCATATCCCGATTCACTACAATTTATTCTCAACCTTGACTACATCGACCATGACAAAGTCCTCCAAGGTCCAAGAAGGCCTTCGCGTGACGGCCACACTCAGGCCAGCAACTCTTGATGACGCCACAGCAATATCAGAGCTCGCCACCCATGTCTTCACGGTCACATTCGGCCATTCAGTCGAGCCGCATGAGCTCCAAGCGTTCCTAGAGGAGTCCTACAGCCTCGAAGCCATCACAAAAGATCTCGACGACTCAAACAAAGACACACTACTCGCGTTTGATCCTACTGGAGACATCCTGGGTTTCGCCATGCTCACCCGGGGCTCCTCAGAGCCATGTATCTCACATCTTGACGGTACTGTTGAGCTGCAGAGAATTTATATGTATCCAAAGGCACAAGGCACGGGCGCTGCAAAGCTTCTGGCAGACAGGTTAGAAGACATGGCTAGGGAACAAGAATTCAAGCACATGTGGTTGGGCGTCTGGGAAGAGAATCTTCGGGCGCAAAAGGCGTATGGGAAATGGGGATATGAGGAATGTGGCACCCATGACTTTGCCATTGGATCAGTTATCCAAACTGATAACATTATGGTGAAGAAACTCTGAATGGCCATGTTACGAACACAATAGAAGTTTGGAGTATATATATTTCAGGTTAGATTTGATTGCGTTGGGGACTTTATCTCAGGTGTTACACCCTTAGACGTTCCAGTAGACTCTATGCTTCATTTAGAAGTACTCATAACTTCATCGACTTTCCTCATGCAGCAATGGTGCGTCCTCTCCGAGTATCATCGAGTAGGTCTTTTGTCAATGTTATGCAACTCTAGCGGGAATCTCAGGCGGCAGCTTGCCCCATTGCAACTCTCACGAGGACACTGGTGGCCAAATACGCAATTTGGATCGGTGCAGCTGAGACCTGTATGGCAGTGAGACTGACGAGCGACAGCCCAGAGAACTTGCATTTCTTTCGGGCTCAGCCTGCCTTTGTGCTCGTGCGAACACTTCCCATAAGCTTCCCTATAGGGACATCTACCCAAAAGGTGAAGACTGTTGCACAACTTGCGGTTCTTCATCAGAATGAACTCCTGGTGGGTAAAATCAAGTGGTGGATCAATTCGCTGCCCGGCCTTGTTCCGAAGCACCTGCCCTAAAGGAGGCATCCTCGAGTCGACCATGGCTTGTTGACGTACTGGCAGGTCTCCAGCGAGAACCGATGGAGCTCTGGCAGCGGCTGACGCATAGTTGGGCGAGGGCGTCAATGGTGGTGTGATGTTGTAAGAAACCTTACGCTTGATGTTGTTGAACAATTTCTGACGCCTGAAAACCCTGTTGAAAGAAGCGACGCGGAACTGGTCTTTAATCTCGGCTAGCTCCTGCGCAAATGGAGGTCCCTCGAGAAGGACAACCTTCTTGCGAATCTCATCGTTATCGAGGTACGATCCCAACACGCGAGCGTAACCGCTATCTGCCGAACCACCAAACAAAACATGTCGACAGTGAACATCGGACACACTAGACTCAAAATTTGCTGAAAGATCTTAGTCTTCGCCCTTTGGATGCTTTTGTAAGTTCACTCACCCTTCAACTTTTCATCCGTACACTCCTTGCCATTACCCGCGTCAACAAAGTCGCACATTGCGTTCCACATGTTGAAGCCTCGGACGAAATCATCCAAAACGCTCGGATCAGGGATAATGCCCATTTCGGTGTAAGTCTTGGCCAGACCCTTCAAGTTGGCGTAAACGCGGACGGCAAGTTGTAAGTGATGCGGAAGGCAGGGGTCAATGGCCTTTAGCTCATCAAAAACAGCGAGACGTAAAAGGCTTGCAGCTTTCTTGCCTCCCTCGAGTCCTTGCTCAATAAGATCATCCAGAAACTGATTGTTCGCCAAGTCATCAGAAAACTGAGATATTGGTAGATGGCAAGCAAAAAGATTGAACAGTTCTGACTTACTGGCATACAGTCGCCGTCAACGAGGACCATTGCAAAACAGTGTTTATCCTAGCTGGGTCAGTGTCTTTCTGGCTGGTAAAGCGGGTTGTACAACATGCTTTCTCGTTTTGCAACTTTTCGATCTGATATTTGATCCTGTCATCGGTATCGAAAAGAGACCGTACCAGCATCTTCTTTTCCTTTAGCTCCATCTTAACCTCGGAGAGCTTGTCGGAAAGCTCTGCAATGTGAGAGAACAAATCCTGAGTGGGCCGGTCAGTTAGGTACTTGGCAAATCATGCATGAACCAGCCAGAGAGTACGAAAATACCTCAATGAGGGAAGCCTTGTGGTCATCCTGAATTTTGCACATTTGCCATCTTTCTTCCAGCGATAGCGGTCCTTGGCTGTCTGCGTTTGACATGTTGAACACTCACCGATTTCTGTGAGACGTGATCGGGAGAAACTTGTACATGACCTCAAGTTCAATCAATAGCCCTTGGAGTGCCAACTGCCTCTATTTAAGTAAAGCTGTTCACGCGGTGAAGTCACGCAGCCTTGAGGGCTTCAAGGCGTACGGGTTGGTTGCACTGCATTGCCATCAGCGAATTAAAGAGGCCGATTCTGTGGCACATGGTTTGGCGCCAGGCCTCCTCCAACAACACCGCCGCGATTCAAGATATTGGGGCTGGCCGCATATTGGTTGGCCTGCTGCGGCGAGTGGTTGGCCAGATTTGACGTGGTGAATCTGCCTTGTGTTGGCGCGGACTTGCACTTTAAGTCTTCAGAGAAGCAAACTGAATGACCAACTGCATAATCAAAGCGGAACCTATCGTTCTTCTCAGGAAAGGCTGTGTTTCAGAAGGGGATCACGACAACGCCTGCACCGCTCGATATCGATGTACAGCTTATGAGTTATATCAACGATGACATCATTTAGAACAAATTACAACAAGCAGTAATTATTTGGTTACATTGATTACAAAGGCTTATTCAATTATTCTCATCGCTAAATTTCAAGCAGGACAACTCCACTGACTCCGATACCATGCTAAGCAAATCCCAACTACTCAAAACGCCAGCTAAAGTTCCCTTTCCGAGTTCCAGATTTTGATTCGTGTAAATTCCACCCATTCATGCCGTATTACCAGAACCACGAACAGCCACCGTCAGCAACTTTCATTCTTTTGAACCTTTCGCAAATCCGCTGTCCTGATGAGAGAACTACGACTGGACAGCTTGAGGCGTTCTGCTAAAGCTGAATGAACGCCAAGAAGACCGCTGAGCTGGTTTGTTATGAGTCACCAGGCTAGCCAAGAACGCCGGCGAAATCTCTGAGGCGGATACGGAAATTTCTGCCCTCTTTTTCTTCTTGTCTTGCTTTTTCGATTTTGTTTGCTTTTCAACCTTCGAAATTTCTGTCGGCCTACGGCCACTCAAGCAGGCGTCAACTACAGACCTCTCTGGAAGGACTTCGGCCCCGGCCATTTCCCGCGTAGGCCATGGGAACGTCGCGGCCATCTCCTGAATGGTAACGACATCCATCTTCTCGAGAATCTCCCGAAGCTGCGGTTCGAGGTTGTTAACCTGCTCAAAAGCCCAGTCGGCACGCCTTTGAATGCGGACACCATCACGACGCATCTGACCGACTAGCCACTCCATCGCCACGTGATGCGGGATAAGTCGAGCGTTGCGCATCAGCCAGGCCATCATATCAGGATCGCCGGTCTGCTTGACGATGGGCAAGCTGCGACCGCCGTGCTCCCGCTCTTGGAGCTTTTGCAGAAAGTCGTGATACATCCCCAGCGAAGAGGTCTGAAGACCAACGAATTGGCCGTGGAAGAGAGCACGAGTAACTTCATCGGCCCAAGCAATGCCTGCCTTCATGCCGGAGTTCGCACCTCTCCCAGGCCAGAAGTGCACCGTCATTGCCGCATCCCCAGCCAAGGCAACCAGACCGTGGGGTCGGCGCAGGGCTGTAGAGTCGCACTGCGGAACCTGCTCGACGGCTTTGTTGATCCTGCGTACAACAATGGGAATGCGAACAATGTTTTTCAATTCGCACTGCTTGAAACCGTAAAGCTCCAGACCATCAAGTATCGCCTTCCACAACGGGCTGTCAGGTTGCTGAGACGGTGCAAAGACCTGGTTCTCCTCAAAGCCATGAGGCAGACAGTCGTTGACCTTCAGGCAACTTGGTCGCCCGAATGTGCAAGGATGGCCATCTACGGAGACCATTTGGTGCCATTCAGTCTCGGTCAACTGCATGTTGAGATATCCTGTGCCATCGAAGTCGCTGGCATTGAGGAGGTAGCGAGTTTGGCCCATGGTGAGGAAGATGTTGATGGGCTGTGAGAAAGGAAGACCACGAGGCCGATCAAAAGCAAGCCCTAGGGCATAGCTCTTTCCAACCTCCTCTTCTTGCCCCGGAAAGTAAGCACTGCGAAGCCAAGAACCAGCGCCGTCGGCACCAAGCATCAGGTGGAAGTCGCCGTACTCCGAAAGATTGTCCTGTCTGACCTGTGAGGCATGTAGGAAGATGAGATCGCGGAACTGGCTGTCTTGTGCCCGTCGCAAGAGACCGTCTTCGAGCTTGCGGATCTGGAGATTGCTGGAACCAGGCCAAACACGCTCTGGATTTCCGCCAAAGACAGCTTGTCTCGTTCTATCGCTCATCAAGTCTGTCACGGTGTCTTGGAGCGTGACTACCTGGTCGCGACGACGGGCCCCTGGTGGGTAACTGACGAAAGAGCTACCCGGCTGCTGAATCCATCTGCCTTCGTAAAGATGGACCTCCACTCTGGCCCCAGCCTTCTCGGCCAGAGCAATCGCAGAAGCCAGGCCTGTGGGACCTCCACCAATGATCATGACTTTCAAAGGGGCTGCTGGGTATTGATAGACAACCGGGTCTTGGGGGAGCTGAGGTAGGTTACGAGCTACCGATGGGTCAAAAAAGAAATCGCGAACTGCATTCGTCTTGGTAGAAGTAAGAGCTTGGCTCTTGATGAGCACGAAACGCATCCACTGCAAAAGGGAGGTTGTGTTGAAGGTCGAGTGGCCGTTGCCAAAGACAATTCGCTGGACTGAAGCTGCAAGAGAGACGACATCTCGATGCCTGGGATTTGCTGCGATGGATCGGAGCTCGCTGTTGGTAGAAGCGTCATCTCCACGGTAGAAGAACAGAAAAGCTTGCGCGCGCTCAAAGTTGGTTTGGCCCGCTGCTTCCCAAGCCGCTTCCCAAGAGCGCGGAAATTGAATGTTATCAATCTCAGGTGATTGATTAGGGAAAGGAGTACGGCTGTCAAGCTTAGAGCTGGACATGGCCGGGGGAGAGCCTGAGCGGCTGCGAATAGACGTGAGCATGGGCATTGTGAATGACTGGTATAAGGAAATGAGATAGTAATAATTTATGCGGAGTATAAGGGTTGGAAGAAATGACTTTGGGGACTGCAAGGAGACAAGGGAAAGGAATATGATAAAACCAGAGAACAGAAGAAAAGAAATATTTGAGATGTGGTATATGATGATTAGTATTGCGAATTCATCTTTGGTGTCGAGAAGCAACTAAGGTAGTCTTAATATATACTGACTGAGACCGAATTCCGATGCTTTGAGAACAGACAGATAGTCACGATTTCCAGACGAGCCCTAAGCTGCATCGCGCCCGACGTAGGGGCAGTGCCACCTTACCAGCACTGCCCACCGGCCTTGCATCATCTCTGTCCCAAAACATCAGCCCTATGAAGGCGCGCAACTTAGGCTTCCCCACGAGGTTCTGCCGGAGAAAAGGTGCGTGCATATTGTAGGTTGTGGCTGGGCGACAGGTGTCTGCATCTACTGCGTGTCGTCTCAGTGTGGAAGCTGAGGAGTGCGGGCACATCATTCTGGTCCAAGAAAAGCGAGCTAGCACTTGAAGGATCTTAGGTAGCATGGATGGAAGGGCCCCCAGCCTTCCCGCCGCACGTGTGCATCTATTCGCACAAACCGTGACATCCACTCAGAATGATTCTCGGTACCGCGATTATGGCTTGGAGTGCGGGGACGAACAGAGCAAGCATTTGCGGTTGACTCCAGTCGGCTCGGCCCTAAATAGATGGGCAAAGCAATTTCTCTGATCGGGAAGAACTGCTGCAGGTCAAGGTGGTAGTATCGTTGAGAGCCACTAATATCTGACCACCCTCGGCTATACCACCTCAATGAGTGCTTCATACCAGACTGCAGTCTTGTGCTTACTTCCATTACTGTGCCGCCGGCCAGATAGCCGTCAAGCTGGGAGCAGCCACCTTTGATGTATCTAGCTAAGGGTGATAATAGGATTCGTTGCATAGGGTGATCGATCCGATAGGCCAAGACGCCTGATGAACACATCACATCGCATATAATTAACTTGACATGGGGTTGCATCGAGAAGCTACGTGTGCCACTCTCACTGCGTACATGTCCTCCCCACGGCCATTCAGTACTTTCCTTTGTTCGAGTTGGGCACGAGATATGAGAGCTGATGCCTCAGCAACCTCGATATCCATGAGCTCTAGTCTCTTTGCTGTACTCAGCCACCACTAACAAGTCTCGGGAACACAGCCCACACGATCTCGGCATTATCCAGCCGCTCGCTCCAATGATTATATCCGCGGTTGCTGGTCCGCCTTTTTCCTTCAAGGTACAAGACATCTTACTGGTTTCTTTGGCGCAGCCGCTGGAACACTCTCTGCGGCTGAGGGTGCGTCTAACTTTTCAATGAGCTTTCGATTATGATAATATACGTGTAAATAGTTTGGACAAGTTAATAGGCAAAAGTCGAGATGCGAGCTTCTGCCAGCTAAGACCGGTGTGAGAAAGCTGACTTCAATTCGCGGCACATTAAGCCCGACCATCTGACCATGCCTCGGGCGAAGGATTCCGAGGAAGTATCTATGTTGCTTATTTCTGAACAGACCTCAGCTGTTCTATTTCACAGACGTGAATTCTATACTAGGAGATCATTTTAGAAGTATTGGGGAACTAACGATCCAGCTAGCTTCCACATCACTCTAGTGATATTCGGAATAGCATTTGGGCACTGGGCATAGCTCTCGAGTTTTAGACGATCCTCCAGCACTGTTCTCACACATTTTAATCCATTATTAGAGGCCCTAATCCTGCTCCAAACCACAGTCGAGTACATAGTCACATCACTATCAAGCCCAGCTGGGCTGGTACAACATCGAGGCGCTCGCAATTCGGCCATGTCATGCCCAAGTTATTCTCAAACCTCACCTTCATGAATTAGCGAGCATATAGAAGCGAGCATATTCTAGGAGTAGCACAGGTAAGAACAAGCGTTCCACTCTCATCCAGCTCGTCATCAACAAACTACGTGAGGCACAGCAGCTTGAACGGGAACTCGTGATCTGACATGCATCAGCCAGAAGCTCGCTTAGACGCTAGAACACTTTGTTGGTCATATCGCAGCGAGATCAACAGGGGTCAGGACCCTCCCGCGCGCCATATCAGACTCAACGCCCAATCAACAAGTGATGAGCTAGTCGACTTCAGGCATGATGCAGAATGAATCATACTGGAGCCACATCAACTGCTCGCCGAACCTCGAACGGGCACCCATGTCGTCTCTCGCCTCTAGCGTCTTGTCTGTGCGCGTTGAAGACTTGGACCTATTAAACACGCAGCATCTTGCCCGTAGGCTTACTTGGCACCTTGGTTCATGTTAGAGCTCACTTTATGTCACAGCGAGACATTGCAACATTCGAAGCCTCTCACAGCCATTCCCAACGAGAGTCAATAAGAATGTCAGCAACCACAAGCGCTGCGCAACGTTGCAACATCGACGCAACTCGGAGAATATTACCCAACTCACCTTCCACCGGGCCCGTCGTCTCCAAACTCTCAATACTTGATTCAACAGTCGCCCGTTTCACGCCTACGGCTGCGATATGGCTTTATGACAAGCCAGAAACGTCACAGTTGTCACGCACTGAGTTCTTTGGGAACCTCAGCCACTCACTCAGTCAAACACTAAACGATTATCCGCACTTTGCAGGGCAACTCCAATGGGCTACACCCGAGCAAGTCAAAGACGACGCAGCGTCGCGACACCTTGGCCGGCTAGTTGTTGCGTATGGCTCGACCGAAGATCCCGGGGTTGAGTTATCCATCGCCACTCATGACTCAAAGCTCAGCGATATAGTCCCTAGTCGGGCTGAGAGGGCGACGAATTTGAAAGAGTGGAACGCCTCGAACTTCCAGCAAAGCGAGTTCTTGCCAAAAACCAAGATTGCGCTCATGTCTTTGAATGCTATCGACGGGCTGCCTGCTATGGCCGTTCAGCTGACGTCGTTCAAGTGTGGAGGCTTTGGGATCAGCGCAATGGTCTCGCATCCTCTCGCAGATGCTGTATGCTTGATGAACTTCATGTACTCTTGGGCAACAAGGTCGAGGGTTCTACTGGGCAACGTTACTGCAATCGATGGTCTGATCATATCCAAACCTGTTTTTGATCCGGCACAGCTTGACCAAGCTGCAGGGCTCACACCCGGAGGTCTCCCGGACGCATCAATAGTTGCAAAGGCTCGAGCATTGCCGATGCACCGGTTTGACTGGTGGGCAGAAGATGCACCAGGATATCCTCCAGGTGTCAGACCAGCTTCACTAGCCACCATGCCACCGCCGGACGAATTAAGAACAACCAAACTCAGTCCGTCAACATATCCTCCGTGGCCGACTTGGGACATGAGTGCGCCAGTTGAGCAAGTTCAAATACGTTTCGCGGCAGCCGAGTTGACCCGGCTGAAGGAAGCTGCGCAAGCAAGCCTGCCGGACGACCTGCAATCACTCCGAGTCTCCCGGCTCGATGCAGTTCTGGCCCATATCTGGAGTTTGATGAACCGTGCGCGCGGCCATGAAGGAAAACCTGAACAAGCATATCTGAACATCACCTTGGGTCTTCGAAATCGCGTCGATCCACCCTTACCAGACACTTTTGTTGGATCTCCTCTCCTTCTAGGGTATGTTGAGAAAACCGCCAACGAAGCGAGCTCAATCCATCTTGGGCCTATCGCCGGCGCTATCAGGCAGATGATGTCTCGCTTCACGCCAGATGCGGTTGCAGCTTACATCCATGACGCCGCACACGAGGTCAGCCCTCAGCGGTTATGGCAAGGCTTCTTGGGAACTCATCACACCCTCGTGACATCCTGGGTGAGAGCCAAAACCTACGAGCTTGACTTCCTGGGCACGGGGGAGTTAGCTCGGTATGTCCAGGGCGTCATGCCAAAGATTGATGGCTTGGTTCAAATCATGGATGTTGCCTACACTGGTGACTTTGATGTGAGTGTATGTATGCAGCGAAGTGCCATGGACCGGCTGTTGAAGGACAGTTCGCTGCGTCAATACGAGTAGGCAAGCTAGAGAGCCAATCGCAACGGTAAATTGGCGTCAGCACGGACAGAGATGAAACCTGGAATAGAATATAGACAAAAAAGAAATATCTCAGTCAATCGCTGACGGGAATTGAGCCCGACGTGGCTATGAGATGTTAGATATTGAACCCAGATCAGTTCCTAGGTGTCGAGATAGACTTACGGGTCGAACCCACAACCTTGAGATTAAGAGTCTCACGCTCTACCGATTGAGCTAGCCGGGCAAGCTATTGAAGGTGTGTGATTGTTGCCAGCGGCTGGAGGTCCAAGATGCCGCATCGTGAGTTGTGCGTGGATCATGGAGGGCTAAGCCATGTCAAGACTCCACCCATAATATCACTAGCGTCTTCCACACTTCGACTGAGAATCAGAGTTCATACCAAAGAAGCATGACATCAACTCGACTCATCGACAGATAGTCAATAATCATCATGTGGTTTCACCCATATATTGAGTTGAGACGTGCTCGAGAGAGACGTCTCTTTTGAGTCTCGATAAAAGCTCTTTTGAGGATTACGACGTTACGGCGGCCAATCCCTAAATTTGCTTTTGAATCGATGGTGCAATTATTATATAGAAGAGCCTTGTATGTACAATGGTCCTGGTTGGCAATGCACTGGACCTACTCTAGCTATTATCGTGGTACTTGTGGGCATCTCTTGACCACATGCAGTCCAACCTCCAAACGAGAATCATCCCTAGACTCATACGTAGACGTAGCAAAGAGGAGAACCGCCGATAGTGTTCAAGACCTCGTCGATAGTGCGGTTCTCAGCATTGACGCCAAGGTCAAGGATATCAGTCTTCAGTGCGTCCCTGCTAGCCGGCCTGTTGTTGATGGTAATTGTACCAGCAATGTTGAAAGCATCCCACAGGTGGAGGGCCTGCCACAGCCAATATACGCGGTCAACCATGGCATGGTGCAGAAAAAAGCTGGGGTCGACGGGTGAGGAGTACAGATCGCTAGCTTCGCCGTTGACGGAGAAGTGGCCGGACGCGTGCATGCCGAGGAAGCCGTCAGAGAAACGGCCCTGAAGCTCGTTCTGGAAAAGCTCTATGCTCTTGGAGGCCGCGCCTACCGTGATGTTGAGCACGTTCTCGTTCGTGAACCAGGTTGAGGCCGTGTAGTTGCTCAGATCGCGACTAAGGCAGCGAGGGTTGTAGCCAAGCTTGCCGGTCGGGCTGGCCTCGAGGCCGTCCATGCCGGGGTTAACCGGCCCAAGGTTGACGGTCATGCTAGGTGAATGTTAATCACCAATGCAGCGGTGCGAATATGTACGAGGGAAGCTTACTTCTTAAAAGGACCGCTCGTGACGCAGCCACCCCCATCGCCAGAAGGCAGGACAATGGCACCTGCACCGCTGACGCTGCCGTTGTGCTGGAGAAAGGCGCCGTCGCCGCTCAAGCTGGTATCGCTGCCATCAAAGACAGGGGATTTCCGGAGATCGTCCTGGTACTTCAACCAGTTCCAGTACTGTAATGTAATTGTCAGACCCATTGGAAGATCTCCCGTTCATGGTAATGGAATCCACTTACTGGCTGGGAGCCCTTGTAGCCGCATTCGTTCCGCAGAGCCTCTTCGTATGCCCAGACAAAGTAGCGGTGCCATGTCAAGAAGTTGCCCTGAAGTGCCATGTTAGATCGCGACACGATTTGTCGTGAGTGTAGATGTTACTCACAGTTCCGTGGATCTTGGTTGTCTGGTTGATGTGCACGGCAACGAAGTCATCGTAACGGTTGCGAGCACCGGGAGCGAATTCGGGGTCCGACTTGGAAGGGGATGTTAATAGGCACTGGACGGCACTGATGTAGTCTTTCCTCTCTTGGGAAGAAAACGCCTCCCTTGAAGACGGGTCAGCTTTCAATTCGAGATCGACACTGTAATGGTGGGGGAGTGTCGAACCAGTCCCGACGGTAACGAGCATTGAAAATGTTGCAGCTACTGCGCTTGTTGCCCGCGCTCGATGCGGTCAGAGCACTCATAGCCTTGACCTGGAGTTCGGCGAGAACATCGCCAGTCTCGATGGGCGAGGCCATGACCGGCGCCATCAGCAAGCCCACGGCCGCAGCCGCGATAGTGAGGGGAAGCATTGCTGAAAGTTCTGGTTTGTTCAAGATGGAATAATTAAAATGCAGGGTAGCCGCGTGCGCAAGCAAGGAACTGAGAGAGAGAGAGCTGTGGTCCGAGGCACGTCAACACTCAGAGAGAACTGGATAGGATTTCCACTAGAGGTGCGCAAGGTCAAGTGGCAAGTGGGAGCGGACAGGACGGTCCGGAACAGTCACAAGAGAATCAACGACCAGACAGATCTCGTTAGCTATATAGATAGATGCCTGTTCGACGTTGGGAATAAATTAAAAATCCCGTTGTCTGCACTAGTGCCCCCGACCGTGGCGGCCTGCAGGGCTTCGGATCCGCGGGACGGAGATGGTAACCGCACTGGGCAGCGGGAATGTTCCAACAACGCCGCCGCTGTTGGCGGGAAGCATGGTCCTAGTATCCATTGCCAGGGGCAAAGAATCATTGAAGAGAATTATGAAGAGGGGTCACTAATCGAACGGTTTTTATGCTGCGACATTGTGGATAGGGCAGCCAGAAACTGGAAAAGTCCAATACTCGATAGCCCAGATCCGGGGCCCACGATGCTGGGATGAAGAATGTAACCTTCTTTAGGCCAAGCGCGGAGCCGGCCGGTGGACGGGTGACAGGGGAGATGCGTTGCCGTCGGTCGCCAACTCGCCACAAGTTCAAAGTGGCGGATATTAAACGGCAACTGGCTTCGGGAAGACGGCAAGTTAAAGATAAGATTTGTTAACTCAGAATGGTTTTACGATGATAATGAGCCAAAGACTTAGTACTCGGACTAAGACAAACTGGAATCACCTTGTTCCGTGGGCCGAATCTGTGCGGCATCATACACGCTCTTAGAGCTCCATAAGCTTAAAAGTCAAAAAAAAGGTTCGGAAAACAATATGTTCGTCCCAACTGCCCGCATGCAACAGTAAATTGTAACAGACAGTGTCCAGCTGGTCGACCACCGTCCGACTCCACACAGTTCCGCTCGCCACCTCGAGGGTGACCAACCGATCCGGATAGATCGTATGGTGGTTTGTTCAACATCTCTATGTGATTTCCACTGTCCCATTATAATCTTAGCATGCATGCCATGTCTTCCGGCTAGCAGGCCACTAGATCCTTTCATGGGTCGGTGACACCCTCCGTGTCTCCCACCCGGTGCCGCCAACAACAATGCCCCGGTGGTTTATTTCTTCCCTTTTTCCTGTGCCGCTAGGTTCTTCAACCGGGTATCATGCAGAGATTCCCTCTTCGGTTCGATGGCCGACACCGAAACCCAGTATTTTCTCCTCTTTTTTTCCCGCGCCGACAGCGCGATACACTTTTCCAGGGTGGCTTGGAGGACTTACGAATTGCTGCTGCCCGATTGGGGTGGCAGGATCAATATCGCTCCTTGATGCCGCTCCTCACCAACAAACAATTTCAGGCAAATTGCTGAAGATATCTGTGCTCGGAAGCTTCGTTGTGTTAATCGTTGTCCGTATTGACAACTTAGGGGCAAGCTCGCGGCGTTTTCCTGCTTGCTGCTGTGTTTAAGCACCTAGTGACGCTCGCGGCACTGCAACAAGGTGGCACGTAATGTGGGAGGCATCCATGTGGCCCCCGAGAGATCCTGAACACTCTTTTCATTCTACATCCTGCCCACCACCTGCTTAGGCGATCCTGTAGGTGCAAACTGTGCAGCACATTAAATCCGTCGATCCACTTCTCTACAAGGAAAACTCCGGTACAGAATTCTCGAAGAAAAGAGTCAATGGTGCGGTCGCTTCGCTACCTCGGTGCCAAATTCTAGGCCGAATGGGCTGATAGGGACGGATCAACCTCCCTGCTCTGGAACGCAGTCTAGAAAGGCAAAGCACATCACCTTCCCGAGGCAGACAGGAGTGGCAGCACGAAGACTCCCCCTTTTGACAGAGTCCGATTCCATCATCCAATGATGATTGCTTTCACAGTTACCAGCTCCCCGTTGCGTGATGATTGAGGTCCTTGCATCCATATCCCTCCCGAAAGCCCCGTCCGTACCGCGTGCGTGGTTACTGCAGTGTGGCCCCCGTGGATCGGGTTTCATCTATCCAGTTCCTTTCTTCCTACAGAATAGATTATGAGTCCCCAGTATGGAGTACTAAATTGGAACAGCAAGATGCTTAAAAGAACCCGCTGATCCCCTCGCTACTCAGTGTCCACTTTCTCGAAACTTTGTGACTTTCTTCGACTCTCCTCTCACCATCTGTGCGTCTGCTTGACGCCGCGCAGCCGCGTCATCCGCCGCAATGTCTTCGACGTCCAGCACAACGGCCGTCGACCCGGAGCGTGCCAAGGAAAGCAATACGGCCATGATCCTGGCCGTGACGGGAACTTTCCACGCGCTCGCTCTCGTCTTCGTCGTTCTCCGAACGTATACCCGCGCCGCTATTGTGAAGACGATAGGTATCGATGATTACATGATGATCATGTCTGCGGTACGATCCAGGATACTAGGTTGCCATAGTACTATGATAAGGGTGGCCATGCTGACTTTGACCAGCTCTGTGCGCTGGGTGGAGGCATGGTGATCTTCATTATTCAAGGGTTTTACGGACTCGGCAGACACAAAGACACAATCAGCAAGCCAGATCAAGTCTTCTTTTCCAAGGTTGGCTTCTTTCAATCAATCATATCCGCCATCGCTGCCCTGGCGTTTCTGAAGATCTCAATCGCACTATCGCTGCTACGTCTAAGCAAGAACAAGTGGTACTCGAGATCACTATGGGCTTTGATTGGTACAATGTCTATCCATACCTACTCAGTGTGGACTGCCTGAATCTTTCTAACATATGATTAGTGTTCGTCGTGCTTTATACAATCATGGCATGGCTTAGCTTCTTCTTGTATTGCAGCCCGATGGAGGGATATTGGGACAAGAGCCTCAAGCCAAAGTGTTACAACATCAAGTTGTTCGTCAATTTCGCGCTGGTCAATACTGGTGAGCCGACATACTCATCCTTTCGCATTGCTTTAGAAGCTAATTCAGCCCAGCGTTCAACATCTTTACCGATGTCTGTTTCGCATCTCTGCCTATTCCCATCATTTGGGTCTTGCAGATGAAGTTGCGCACACGGGTGTATCTAATTGTCGTACTTAGTCTAGGATACTTGTAAGTTTTGCTCCATTCGACACAATGGGTGCGTATCGAGGCTAACTCATTCCAGAGCTGTTATCATGGGTATCATCAAGGCCATCTATCAGATTGCGCAACCGAGCAGCAAAGACGGAACCTTGTAAGTCCTCAAAGGTATTGCCGACAAGAAACATTACTGAAGAGTGATTCTAGTCTCCAAAGTATCCAATTCTGGGGCTTGTAAGTTGTCCGAATGTTTCACAGACTGAAACAATGTTAACCTAACGGTCTTTCCTATAGCCTGCAACTCAACCTCGGCATCATCGCCGCCTGCGCACCAGCATTAAAACCCCTCGTCGGCCGCGCCCTCAAGATCTCATCGAGCCGTCACTACAACAGCGACAACCTCTACGAAAACCGATACCCGACTGGAAGATCCGGTAGAACGGGGAACATCACCACGGGCACCGCTCGAAGGCAGGGCTACAGGGAACAGGGAAGCCAGGGGGCACCAGACTATGAACTCGAGGACGGGCCGTTTTCACCAAGCCCAGAGTTCTACCGTACGACCATCCAAGGTGGAAATAATACCCCGGCGGCAGTGGCTGTGTACCAGAAGAAGAACAGCTTTGGCGACAGGTCGGGGAGTGAAGAGTTGATCCTGGAGACTGGGCATAGTTTTGGAGATAATAAGGGTATCATGAGGACGACGGAAGTGCATATCCAACGTTGAGAACATGCGGACAGGGCAGCACGGCCGGTGCTAATTCGTTCATATTCCCAGCAAAGGTGGGATGAGAATATACGATTGACTCCATTTGGAGCGACTGCGTTTGGCCCCTTTCTTGACTAAAGGAAGGTGTGCTCAGCCTTGAGGATTTCTTTTTGCTGACATCCTCCAATACTTTCGCTTCAAACATGGGCCTACTCGTGGTCCAACAGGTGGTATCATTGACGTGAAAAGTGAGATCATTTTTGGAAGTATAGTGACCCTCTTGAAGCACAATAAGAGCAATTTTATGCGGACTCTGAACTGGTTCGTGTGCTAGGTGGCACTCCAATGAGTGACATTGATATATAGATTTAACTCTCCACGACCAAGTTACATAACCACCACCAATACCATCCCCTTCCCCTGGAGCCCTGATTGGGTAGACCCTAAGCAAACCTGGGTAGCATGATTTTCTACCCTCAGGCTAGCCAAACGTCCTTGTGTCCCAAAACCAGACTCAAAGCCCCTTCTCGTTGGAGTTGCCCGAATCAAGCTCGGTACTAACGTGTCGCCGCCTCAAATTGCCAGCCTCGTCATGCACCTCATCCCACGCAGCAACCTCGGCCTTGGGAACTCTGACCAGGCGATGCGTGTTGGCGCCGTTGGAATCGACCTCGACAATCTCCGTGCGGATCTCGTATCCCAACCAGCGAGGGAGGACATACATCCAGAAGACGTAGTACAGAATGCAGAGAAGGATGCTAGCAGAACGCAGAACAAGTCAGCGGGTTTCCTTGTACTTTGATTTCACATTTGAATAAAGGGTTTACTCACATTCCGATACCCACGACACAGTACGTGGCGTACCAAAAGCTGACGCTTCCCGCGTACGGGCCACCTTTTGGCGGCCACCACGGCATCGCCAAGACAAAGACTTGGATGGCGAGGAAGAAGAGGACGACAAAGTCCCAGGCGCGGAACTCGGAGCGACTGATGCCGGAGCGCTGACGACGTCGTCTGAGGACGAAGACGCCGAAGGTCATGGCGAAGTTGAAGATTGCGCTGGGGTAGCTAGCCAGATCGACGACTGCATCTGATGTTAGTGGTGAGTTCAAAGCATGGATCAGCGGACCCCGGGGAATGAGGTCATACCGAAAGAGAAGGCATCGCCAGCAGGGGGCGCGACGATCATGATGAAGGTCATT